TGCTGAGAACCCTTGCTACGCCACTGGAATCTAGAGGTATAAACATTATTATAGATGGCGCCTTTGATAGTACCGAAGCTATCGAGAGATATCTCGCATGTTTCAATCAAAGTCAGAAGATACTGAAAGAACCAGACAAAGTTATCGTTATTATGCTTCTACGTTAATTGTAATGTATTATATACAGAATATATAAATAAGTGGTAACACGCATATATCTGTGATACTATTTTTATGAACTATCGAGTTAGTGTATTTGGAAAAATTAATTAAATATGAAAGTGTAAGGTAGTTATAAAATTTTTATTATGTGATTACTCTAAAACACGACACTAAGTTTACATGACGAACTTAAAAATTTACGCAATTAATCAAAACCTCGTGAATTTTATGGGAAGACTCATGACTGTTAATATTATCCTCTAATGAACACTATTTTCAAAATTACCTTCTAACGAACTCGTGACTCTCAAATGATTTTTTAATGAACATATGACCTTCAAAATGATCTCATGTACACATGATCTTCTAACGAACAAGTGTTCTTCAAAATGATCTTCTAGCATATTCATCATACTCAAAATGATCTTCTAACGAAATAATGAAATACTAATACAGCTAAACTGGCTGGTTTTTACCCGGTTGGAACTGTTATACGGAATGTATAGTCTTAAATGTAACTAAACAATGTGATGTAAAATACAGATTTTTAAAGGTAAAATATGCTCGAGAATAATGATAATAAATTCACCATAATCCGAACTTGCATCGCTTCCTATTCTTGCATCCTGTCCATGTTCAGATGCCATTTTAAATCTGCTTCTTCTCTGAAATAAACGTAAAATCCACAGTCATTTTCCAGATGAGCAAGATTTGTAATGAGAAACAAAAATACTTGAATATTAGTTGGACTGAGTAGAAGACAAGCGTATCAAAAAAAGCAGGGTTTATTCATAAAAACAAGAAAGTTATTACTGTTTGTACGAGAAGAAACTAGTCGTGTTACGCCTTAACACTTATCGTTTATTATCACATCTTTTTACTTAATTTTGGGATGAACAATCCTGTTTGCTGAAAATATTTCCATAATTGTAATACAAACAAGTTTTGTAATTATGTAATCAACTACATCTTATTAATGGTGATATTTTATTCATGATTTTTAGCGCGGCAAAGCGGCTCATAGAATGGCTCGGAGTTTTTTCGAGTACAAACTTTTAGTTCATAGCTCCATCTCTTGACCGATTTTAAATCTAATTACAGCCGTGACTATTGAGGGTTCCCTCTTGTTTTCTAATTTAATAACTAGGTTTATTCCTCGCTATAAAAATGTATAAATTCAATGTATAAGATGAACATTTAATTTAGTTAGTTATAAAACAATAAATTTCGGTAATGTTGTATCATGCATTTTGTATCAGCTTTTTTTGTTTGTTTGTAATTAAGCACAAAGCTACACAATAGACTATCTGTGCTCTGCCTACCACGGGTATCGAAACCCGGTTTCTAGCGTTGTAAGTACGCAAACAAACCGCTGTGCCACTGGGGGGGGGGGGTGTTTTATAAGCTCTTTAGAATGTTGACTTTTGGAAGCAGGTTCATTTTTCCATTGGTTTTACAATTAATAAGCCTAACTTTCATAAAGTAACACTCATCAACAGGTTTTTCTTGTATAATTAAGCAAAAAGAGGCATGATGCTCCTATATTTACATTACCGACTTAAGCAACAAGAAAAAATCGATGACTGTTCTTTTCAAGCTACCTTGTACAGAAACACAAATTATTTTATTATCTTGAAATCGATTTATTGAATCTGCAGAAAACACTTTTCCGTTACTCTAGTCTTTCATGCTTATAAACATTACATACATGAAATATGTTTCAAGGACGACTACAAAGCTTAATTGTAACCATCGTTTAAGCAATAAAGCTAAATTTAATTATTGTTTCAGCGATAAAGCTTAATTGTAAACATTGATTGAGTGATAAAGCTTAACTGTAACCATTTTTTGAGTGATACAGCTCAAATATAATTATTCTTTGAGCTATAAAACTTAGATATGACCACATTTGAGCGTTAAAGCTTAACTGTAACCACTATTTGGACGATAAGGCTTAATTATATTCATCGTTTGAGCGATAAAACTTAATTCTAAAATTCTTTGAGCGATAAAGCTTAATTTGATCACTATTTGAACGATAAAGCTTAACTGCAACAATTATTTGAGCGATAAAACTTAACTGTAACCATTGCTTGGGCGATAAAGCTTAACTGTAACCATTGGTTGGGCGATAAAGCTTAACTGTAACCATTGCTTGGGCGATAAAGCTTAATTGTAATCACTGTTTGATCGATAATGCTTAACTGTAATAATTTTCTATGCATTAAAGCTTAACCATAACCATATTTTTGGTGTTAAACTTAATTGTAATCATTGGTTAAGTGATAAAGCTTAATTGTAACCATTACTTGAGCGATAAAATTTCGTTGTGATCGCTGTTTGAGCGATAAAGCTTAAATATAATCATTGTTTAAACTAAACGCACGTACATAGGGGTTAAGCTGAATCCCCTATTTTTGTGATTTAAAAATTAATATGCTTATATAATTATAGCGCAGATACCTATGGTATTTAATGTTTTCTACATTGTTTACATTCTTCTGGTGTCCCTATAGCGCATTGGATTTCTAATCCAAAGGTACCGGGTTCGTTCCTCGGCAGGTATGCCACCATCTTTGCTTGGTCCTAAGTACAGGATGAGAAAGGAGAAGGGTTGGACGCGGGGCTAGCAACTCCGCCCCGTAAAAACCAACCGGCTAAAAAACTACCACAACAACTTCTGTCGGCGATGTGTTGTTGGGGCCCTATGCTCCAGTGGGAGTCTACAGGGATTATTATTATTACATTCTTCTGATGAAGCATTAGCATTTTTTGGCGTGAAATAGTCGCAGAGTTGTTTAAATTACTAATATAATTTAACAATTACTAACTACTCTGCATGCAGATAGTACAGAACTTTACTTTAATAAAACATACATATTTATGGTAATTTAAGTCTATCTCCCCGTGCAGTGTTACAACAGAATGATGACTCGTTGACTTTTCAATAGATATTTATGCAGTTTAAGTGAACAATCATGCAATTGTTTAAGATATATTTCATGTAAAGTTGCTTCCAGATTTAATATCATATGCGACGGATTTATTATTCTATATTTATTTTAATATGGATGTTTGTTTAAATTAAATTTATATTTAGAAATGTACATAATGTATACTGTTAAATATGTATTGCGAGTCTACCACCTATTCTCTAAAGTTGTAGAAGATTATTGAGTGTAAGAATCAACAATATATGTGTGTGTGTACGTAAACGCTAGTGTAGCTTTGTATCGTTACGTAATCTGAATTTTAGAGAAACTCTCCACACGCCTGTAAATATAACCAACGAAACAAGCCTAAAAACATTATCTATTATTAGGTTGATATAATTGGTGTGCTATAAACTTCGTAAGCTATAACTGTGATTAACGCTTATTAATCGGAAACTTCAGATATATTGA